TACTTCTTATCATTACAGTTAACAAATAAATTCCTGGATTTCCTTTTTCCTGCACCTGTCGACGTCGCCACCGTGAACATATATGTCCATGTTTCTCAGACCGTGACATTTTGCTACGTTGAACATTAAGTGCATTAAAGTATTGAAGTACTCGAGTTCTAGCCAACACGTAGTGATTTTAGGTTTAGAATTGACAACCTGTGGTTCCTAATACTAGTAGTCAACATGCCTGGATGTGGTTACCTTTGTTGGCTATTAGTTCTGAACCACGTTCAGAAACGAAATTTGAAGTTCAAGGTCAGTAGTACCACAGCGCGTAGCTTTACTGAGCTCGTGATCTTACAGGTGGTTTAGTCGTAAATTAGTTATTTGAGAAAGCGATATGTTTTGAATACTTCCTGTTTTCGACAGAGACTATATTCCCTTGGACTTCGAGCAAAGCATTGGAAGCAGTTTTGCCTTAGCTAAGAACGTCGTGTGAATTTTATCCATTCTAACCTATTCTAATATTTAAGTATAACCTATTAACCTATTCTGCTATTTAAGTCGGACTATATTACTGTATTGTCTAAAATGTCTCAATGAAACATCATTTATAACTGGTAGAAATATGCATGAATGCATAAAATGTTTGAATGGGGTCTCCAAAGAACGTGACAATGCCCTGCACAGGCATGGCATCAACAGAAGGCACTCACAATATCGCCAAAGATCGAATTAGATGCAACAAGCGAGTTCAAATTCTCTGCAAAGAAATAGGTTCATTTCCTCAGGTTTACACGATGGTAGATACCGGTGGAAGATAAGTGTCTTATACCTGACCACAAAAAGGAGCTTTTAGTGCTTTGGGGACATCCAAAGGAATTTATCGAACAGTACAATATCGACCAGGCTAAGTTCGGCTTTATTGGTCGCGTAGGAAGCAATCAGAGAGTTCCCGGTCCGGTCCTGGGAGAGATGGTATCATACAGGTTGTTATTGAGAGTACAGGACCATTCATCTCCGGTTCTGTGGGTCGATTCCTGTGGACAACAATGCCTGTAGCATGATAATCTTCACCTGTAGATCCAACTATCGCCACTTTAGCCCCAACTTTACATGCACGCCCAACTTCTTTCATATGGCAGGGATAAAAGATATCTGTATCTGTATAGCCAGTATAACCGCCCTTCGGCGCAACACATCATCTTCGCAAGCACGCGGCACGGCGGCAGCTAGCTACATTACACCGAAAGACTTGTTACACCTAACCCTTGAACATTGTTTAAAGCCATCTAATATGATAATGCCCCTACTGTACTACGGTGACAGCGAATTCCACTCTGCGATAGTTCTAGGGAAGAATGAGTTTTTGAACACCTCAATTCTTGGTTGATACATGTAACTCCGGTACTTGAAGGCATATTATGTTATATCACACGAGTTGTTTGCATATGGAAGTCCCCAGAAATCTGTATCTGTACATGTATAGCCAGTTTGACCGCTCTTCGGCGTAACACACCAGCTTGGGCGTGGCGGCAACTGGCTACATTACACCAAATGACCCCGGAAAACTACAGTACTGTGTAAAGCAATGGTCTCCACGGAATACCCTGGATGCCAAAACTAGTATCGGGCCGTTAGCCGTTTTCCTTCGGCAGCCAAGAGCCCTTCGCCCGCCTATCTAAATTACCACTACGGGGGAGTTGAGCCCGAGGGGTTTGTACGGCTAGCCAAACTCCCCCCGGGCTAGACTCCCCGGTAGCGGTAATTTACACCAGCGGGCGAAGGGCTTTTGCGGCCCGGAAAACGAGTTCTGGATTCCAGGGTATCTACGGAACGGATTCTTTTTCACCGTGTCTTTTTACGCAGACGTGGCCATCTATTCAGCACCTCACGGCTACCCCTCAAGTCATCGACTTTAATTTCAGTCTCTCCGGATGAATCGCGAAGCTGGTGAAGCTAGAGCGGAAATGACAGTCATTACTGTCGTAAATGCCACCGCGACGGTTACCTTACTGTTGGCAGCCGGGGGCTCGACATTCAGACATTTACCTTGAACAAAAATAAGGCATCAACGGTCCTTAGGCCATGTTGATTTGATTATATGGATGACATCCTCTGGGAACCCCAAAACTGATGCGAGCGTGCGAATAATAAAAGTTTGGCAAAAAAAAAGAGTTGCTTTCATTATGAAATCAACGTGGTTTTGAAGGTTGAACAAATGACACAGAGTATGGTTTGGCGAATAATCTAGTCTTCAAATTAATTTCTTTACATTTTCGTCTTGATTTTGGCATTCTACGACATTGGTATCGTTTTCCAATGTTTTTGTTTTAAACCTACGGTATATATTTGCTCATGTTGTACGATTTACAGAATGGTTGAAAATTTTTTTTTTTGAAACGGCCGAATATTCATGCGCGCGCGGATGTCATCCATGTAATCAAATCAACATGGCCTTAACAAGATCTCCAAGGGCTGATTTTAACGGAGGTGCACTTGCTGGCCGAGTAGGCCGTATTCGTACATGCATTTGTAGGAAGACCGGTATCCCAGAGACATAAATGGCTTGCAGTGTGAGTCTATATATATCAGTTTCAATATGAAACCACCACGGTGCCAGATTGAGAATGGTAGTGAACTAGACAACTTAACTCTACAAAATTCCACATTCTAATAGTTCGCATGGAAAGGTGCTCGCATGGATGACTTTATATGTCAATGTTTGTGAGGGAAGACAGTTATTATGATGCATGCTTCGTTGGATCCATAGAAATGATGCTAAGTAGTGGAAATTTAGTCATTAGTCATCACACCATTAGTGTAACATGATGGAAAGAACCTGAAAATGTAATTACAAGTTTTTCTAACTAAATGTCAATTACGAAAACGTTTGGTAATAGGCGTGCTGGCACTCGGCCAATTCATTAAGAATCTCTATCGACACTAGTACTCCTGGACGCATGGATGGCGATTTTAATAAAGAAGAACTTCGTGTTAAATGTTTAGAGTTAAAACTTTTGGTCTAACGCAAAAAAGTTCTCTCACATAAAGCTTTCGACCTGTCACTCTGGTCTTCCTCAGTAGACTGACCCAGTGAAGCTTGTCACGTAGCTTCTTTGAAGTGTGGCGTCAACACAGGGTCGAAGGTATCTGGTAGACGATGTCGGCCCCCGTCGCGGCTCAATGAAGGGCTTCATTGACACAACAAAAGCGACTTTCTTAAGGTCTTTAACTAAACTGGTCATTGCCTCAACTAGTACGGAAGATGGCAACACTCTAAGAAGTTGAAGCCCAGAACAGCTTTTAACATGCTCTCCAAGCAGAGGTTGTGGGGAATGGTCGTTACCTTTTGATATATGGCCGTTTTATTTTGTCCTGATCCCCACCGTCGGTGGCCGCGGAGCTTCTCTGGCTAATGGATACTGCCTGGCCAATTTGATACTGTCTTTTTTGCCACCGATAGGGATCTGCTTGGAGATTACTTTTAACATGTACTATTCAACTGTAGAATGAACTTTCAAAAATTGGCACGTTTATAGCTTTGACATATGGCTCTACATCCAGTTAAGCACCAGGTCTTGCCTTTGAATAACCCCACTGACCGCACGTGTGTGTGCGCACTGAGAAAGGCGCTGACTCGCAATTAAAGCCAATGTCTGCAGGTTTTATTCTTGTAAACCTTCCAAGTCTGTTCCTGGGAGGATCTATATCCGTCTGGGAGCAGCTGGCTCTTGTACCGGCCAGAGTTATATCGACATTTTTTCGCGGGTAATGGTCTTGACTGCCAAGTTCTGTAGTGCCAGGATCACTGCACACAGCACAGTGGAAATGTCACACATGACGGGCTCCAATCTGCTGTCCCTTAGGCCATGTTGAATTGATTATATGGATGACATCCTCTGGGAACCCCAAAACTGATGCGAGCGTGCGAACAAAAAATATGTTTGGCAAATAAAAATGCCGTCATTATGAAATCTACGTGGTCATGGAGGTTGAACAAATGACCAAAAACACAGAGTATGGTATGGTGAATGGTAAACTCTTCATTTTCATTCTCGCACATTAGCATCATAAAAGTATCGTTTTCAAATTTTGTTGTAATTTACGGCATATATGTGTTCATTTTGCAGCTGTTTTGTACGATTTACAGTATAGCTCAAAACTTTTTTTGGAAACGTACGAAAATTCATGCGCGCGCGGATGTCATCCATATAATCAAATCAACATGGCCTGATTGCCGCAGACCATATACCTTCAAATGCAATGTGCTGCAGTCATTGCTGTAAAAGCTCTCCCTAGCAAACATTACTCGAACTGCAAATCATAGAACTCAATGAAAAGTCCTAGTAGGTTTTGATAGATGTACATGCGACGAAACTTCACTAGGCGTCGCTCCTACCTAGACCAGTCCGTACGTAGTTTAATAGTTGTCATGTTTTGTTGTATTGAGATTGTGCGGTTACCCTTAGCTAGCCCAATTCCCACCCTCCACGTGCTCACCTATAGACTTACTTCCCCATGTGGATCAATTGAAGGACACCTTTTGAAGCAGGTGGAACGCGATACTAAGTACTTTTCCACGTACCTGTTTACCGTGGACATACAATGTACACTGTTCAACCAAGGTAGTTTAGCGTTACCTGGCAGCCAACTGGCACATACTGAATGAGATACCATGTTTGGGCACATAACAATAAGACATGTATTACCCATTTCACGCTTTTCAAGTACAGTGCCCAAGGCACTATAAGGATCGGGTACATTGGGTTAGGTTGGTGGTGGAAGAAACCAATTTAGAACACTTGGGGGCTTGAGGGCATAAAGACTACTAAAAAAATTGGTATCTGTTTGTGCTTTTGTTTGTGAAATTCCTATTTACCTGTAGTCTTTAGTGCTGTGTCGTGTAAGGTAAGCTCTAAGGTCAGTCTTACGCGATTATCTGGTTTCTGAATGGTACTGGTTACTGAATTCACCCCTGTCGAATGAATTTGGATTGTCCCACAGTCTCTACAATAATGGCGCACTTTTTGACACGGGTGGTAGCACTGTGTGCATCTTCCTTGCGAATCCTTCTCCTACTGTCCTTTGTCTTTATCCGTATCTGCCAATATGCCTGTTCGCGAGTGTTACGGACAAACCGCCGGAAGAGCGTGAGCGGAGAGACGGTGCTGATCACCGGGGCCAGCCGAGGGATCGGCCGGTGCCTTGCCTTGGAGTTTGCTAAACACGGAGTCAGCACGGTAATTATAAGTATATCATGGCTGAGCTCGAGTGTATGTGTTCTTAGCATGTAGGAAATTCTATTTCTATTTCGCGCATGCATGTGATTATGAGAAGGGGCTAACATTTTAAATCTTCTTCTAGTTCTAGTACGGGTTGCTATTAGTACATGTAATATCTACAGTATAGTATATGCCCACTAAAGTATCTTCGCAGACATGTGTTTCAATTCGGAAACCGTGCCAATTTATCCTTTGATGCCCGATTTAAGATATATATAAGTATACATTTGTTGTTACTGTGGCTAGAGCATGAAAGAGAAATTTGAAGTCAACAACACCGTTCTGATAGAAGGCAAACTGTGCCTAGACATGGTTCGTTAGCAAACAGACCACACCATAGCCTTGAGTTATGCCTTCACTGAATGGGTGAACAAAATTATATGTTTGCCTAGCACACTGTCTGTGACTGCCTGAGGCTTTTTTGGCTTCCTTGACAAGCACCACTGCCTCCACATAATGAAAACCATCTTCTCCACACAAAAGAAGGCGGAAACTCATCGGTGGAGTTACGGGTTATTATGTACTGACCTGTGGATGACCTGTATAATGTACAATAGGAGACAGACATTGTACAAATTATCTACAAAAAGGTGTTAAAAACCCCTTTTAGGTCCTCTTCACGCTCGATTCCCGTCAATACATAATGTATTTATACAAGACTCGGTAAAATAAGTCAGAGGGAAGCTCATCATTCGGCTTGCCATCTATTATTTAGCAATCCCTATAATGTCCCAATGCGGCTTTCCTCTGGGACATCAACAAGGTACATCAATCAATATTTCATTTCCGCCCTCCGATATTTCTACCCTGTGGGCTTGGCGAAACCACTACCGGTATAACTAGAGAAGTTTATTGCAAATCCATGCCCGAATTCTAATTGCAAGTTACAAATATAAAAGAACTATGAAACAGAGTATAAAATAACTTCAAAATGTACATAATGAAATCTAATTGTCCAAAACTATTGCTATGTCTATAACAAACTCTGATGGCTTGCCTTTTTAGGCCACTCAATACTGTTCCAAGAGTCACAGGCTTCACCGCGCTATTCCAGAATATTTTAAGTATATCCTATATGTTGAACAATGGTAAAGCCATTTCACACCGTGGCATACAAAAAGAGGACAGAATTCGAAGTTTGCAAATGATGCGAGTCACGTTATATAACAAGAGTTCCACGACCTCATACCTTTGCCAATGATCCTGATTTGCATAATTGCCATCTGATTATGTCAAGCATCACTTCAACTACCTACATACCAAAAATCACGACAATCCGTCAACCGGTTCTTGAGTTATCCTCCTTCGAAAATGTTTCAACAAATGCTCCTGCAGTTCCAGAACAAGCCGCTAGGGGACCCAAACTCATGTCACTTCTTCCCTACCTCAAGAGCTATCTACCAACCACAATTCGTGACCCTAGCATGTCCAGATCGTGAGATATCAAAACTGGAAGTTCTGCTGCAGTACCTAGGAAAGCCGCCAGGGGGCCAAAATCTAATTATTTCTAGGTACCATGAAGACCTGCCCACCTACCAAGTTTCATTCCAATCCATTCACTGCTTCTCGAGTTATGGCCTCTATGTAACATAACCATGCATATGGGGGAAACATTGAACATTGACTACTTACTTATAACAAGAATTCCGAGATTTCATACCTCCATAAAATATGGGCTTGATATGTAAATGTAAATTTCCTCTTAAATTATGCAAATTACCTCCGCATTAACATGATATATGCATCGTGATGTATGTTAACTTTTGATTAACTTACAGATGTCCCAAGTATGACATTCCCATTATTCACCATTAAGAAATCATAGAATTTTTGCCTAAATTATGCAAATTAGGTCATCATTTGCATAATTAGTATCTGTTGATGTTCTGCCTGCCATAGGTTACATACATTACGTGTATGAAAGTAGTATAATGTAAAACACTGTAATTATAAAATTTCCTCATTAATTATGCAAATAAAGTCCTCATTTGCATAATTTGCATTTAGTCATGTACATCTCTCTCTCAGCTACCTACACACCAAAAATTATGAAAATATGTTGTTCCTATCTGGACTTACTGGCTTTTAAACATTTCGCCAGAAAGTGCCCTGCAGTTCCAGAACAAGCTGCTAGGGGGACCAAACTCACACCACTTATTCCTGACATAAAAAGCAATCTGTCACCAAAACATCAAGACCATAGCATGTTCAGGACAAAAGATACAAAAACCGGAAGCTCTGCTGCAGTACCAAGGTCATCCACCAGGAGGCCCATATTTGACCTTGACGTTTATCTTCCTAAGACTTACCAACATACCAAATATAATCATAATCCATAAAGGCGTTCTGAAGTTATGCTGACCACAAAGCTGCGGAAACACACACAGACATACATACATACAGACAGACACGCCAAAAACAATACCTCCATTTTTCATGGAGGTAATAACGTATTCACTGAACCGTCAGTGAAAACATGGGTAAGGGTGTATGTAAGTCTGTGCACGTAAGTATGCAACGCTTCTGTGCTCTGTATGTTTAATATGTCAAAGCAGCACATATGTGCAAAACCTGCAGTTCAGATCTACATCGCCAGGAGATGTTGAAACATATGTTTGTGTCCTTTCAGATTGTTCTGTGGGGTCGGGACGAAGAAAAATTGTCGTCAGTCAAAATGGAAGTCGAAGAAACGGGGAAGGCTCGGTGTCATTCCTACAGGTGCGACGTTGGAGATCGCGAACAGGTGTACAGAACTATTCAAAAGGTACGTCATGATAGGCTGACTCTATGCTAGTGACAGAATATTGGACTTGAAGTTGCCTGTGATGCACTCTGATCCTCTCTTATGTCTAACCCTGGTTTCTTGTTGGAACATAACATATGTGCTTTTTTATTAACATTAAACAATGTTCAAGGACAATGTAAAGCTACATTTATTCTAGTAACGGCGCACGAAGAAGCAAAATAATAAACCATAACACAATAACCCTCAGATTACCCACTGTTGTAATTGACTAGTAAGTATTAGTACTCATTAAGAGTGTGTTCTGTCGTTTATACATACAGAAGGACGTGTTTTATGTTCTAAAGCAAATATTTCTATTCACACATCACTGAATACTGAGCTTGAGCTCCCCCAACAGTTTGAATCTACTAGTTCTCTGATACACAACGGTTGACGAAACAAAAATGCACGTAAAATTCTCACCTAGTACCTAGAGCTTTCGACCAGTCACTCTGGTCTTCTTCAGCAGACTATTCGAAAGCTCTAGGTGAGAGAACTTTTTTTGTGTTGGATCAAACGTTTTAACTCTAAACATGTAATTACCAACACAGATGAGCTTTCATATTACGTAAAATGTTTGTTGAACAAATATGCTGTTTTTCAGGTGCAAGAAGACGTTGGAAGAATAACGATTCTGGTCAACAACGCAGGGGTAGTGCACGGCGGAGCACTGCTAGCAACGGACGACGACAAAATTGAGGACACGCTTCGAGTCAACACCTTGTCTCATTTCTGGGTACGTTTGAACAAATCGCGACATATTTACAGAATCCAGGGGTGCCAGAGTATACTTAGCAATTTTACGGAATACAGTGCAATTTTACGGAATACAGCACAAGCGTATTAGTATACAGTGCAATTCTACGGAATATAGTACAATCGTATTAGTATACAGTGCAATCGTATTAGTATACAGTGCAATTTTATGGAATACGTCACTAGTAAAATTGCACTGAATTCCGTAAAATTGCACTGTATACTAATACGATTGCACTGTATTCCGTAAAATTTCACTGTATAATAATACGATTGCACTGTATTCCGTAAAATTGCACTGTATACTAATACGATGTACATGGGAGACTTGTTTGGTCCCCAATGTAAAATACTGGAAGGCTGTAAGCCTGTAAGCGTTGTGACTGTCGGAATGTTTCCGTACACTCATTTAACGTGTGTTTCTGTAGTCTGACTTATGTATTACACACATCCTTTGGTTCACATACCAGCAAAATAAAAGTCAAACTATGTACAGAAGCAGCACATTTCTGACAACCCCAAACCCGTACACGACGAAGGTATGAGATTATCGACCTCTTGTGTTACAATATGTAAAGAGATGAAAACCTGGTTGGAGAGAACTTTTGGAAACCTGGTAACGTTGGATTCTTGGTTTTCTTTCTTTTTGATGCCCACGATCATGATAATGATCATTCTGGCATTCTCATTTTCACCTGAAAGTCGTGTTAAGTGCCTTTCCCAAGGGCACAAGGTTGGTGACTTGGCAGGATTCGAACCCGGGACCTCTTGGTTCTGAGCGGAATGCTCTGCCGTTGCCCCACTTGCTAAACAAATAATGAACATTATGAACATTCCCTTAGCTAATGTCATTCATGATTTCCAGACAACCAAATCTGTTCTTCCATCCATGCTGGCTAACGGTCGCGGGCACGTGGTCGGCATAGCCTCGACATTAGGGCTGTTCGCGCTGCCTGGGGTTCCAGACTACGTCACCTCCAAGTTCTCCGTGGTAGGGTTCTATGAGTCCCTGGCGGCGGAACTGAGAGCACAGGACCGCTGGGATGTCGGGGTGACGTGCGTGTGCCCCGGTCACACCACTACTGACATGTTCAAGGACCTCACTACACGGTATGGATATGTATTCTTCCTATATGCTACTAGGAACATATACAGTGCTAGAAATACCCACCTACAGTCTGCATTTTGCAGAGCCATTTTCGATATTGCAGAAGAAAAATGAAGCAACCTGCAAATTTGCAGAATGAAAAAATCAGGCTAGGGGATCAATGGTGTTTGAGAGCTTTTGTGTAAATTACTACGGTACAACTGACTCTTTAGTATACAAGTAGTTTTGCATGTATTTTTCAAATTGTATGTAAAAGTTTTGTAATCTCCAAGCAGATCCCTCTCGATGGCAAAAAGACAGTATCAAATTTGGCCAGGCAGTATCCATTAGCCAGAGAAGCTCCGCGGCCACTCCTTGATCCACCATATTATTTTTCATAGTAGTTACATTTGTTTGTATGTTGGCGGGAATGTAATAGACCAGGGGGGATCAGGACAAAAAAAACCCGGCCATATATAAAAAGGTAACGATCATTCCCCCACAACCTCTGTTTGGAGAGTAGCAATCTTGTATATGCCATGGATTTACATCCGGACTTTTAAGTATGTATTCAAGCGCAGAAAGTATTTTCGACATGCAGAACAAAATTTTGACATTCTGTAATAGTGCAGAACACTGCTACTACTGAAAAAGTATTTCTACCACTGATATACATATAGATGTATTGAGATCCGACGTATTACCGATGCAAACCTTGTGTTCATATTTCCTACAATCACAACACATGTACAGACCGTTGTCACTGACGCCCCAGCAAGTAGCTGAGCAGACGGTAGAGGCCGTAAAAAACAACCAGCCCAGGGTTATTCTTCCCCGTGTCATGCATCTAACCTGGGTACTCAACAGGTTAGTACGGTATTAAATATGAATGTTCCAAATGTATGATATATGACTTGTATGACTTTGTTTGGCTTGCATTTTTCACAAAATGTGTATACGCATATAATGTTTGTACTTGTACTTATGTACTTATAATGTTTGTACTTTGTACATGTACTTATAATGTTTGTGCATGATTTTAATTGTATACTAGTATATGAGCGTGTGTATGACAGTATATATGTGTGCATGCGCGTATTTGTTGTTTATTTGTTGTTTATTGAAAACCAAAACCCATCGCAGCCTCACGGCTGAATTGTGAGGTCTGTACACAAGTAGCAAACACGTTGCAATTGTTAGACTATCTTATCATATTTCGAAAAATACGTTAAATTAGAATTATTACTTACAACATTCTAACTTCAAATACTAAAATTCGCAGTATATGTACATTTTTAAAACATTTTTCATCGTTCATAATCTTTAAAATAGATATATTCTGTAGCTGCGACATTTAGGCGAGTTAAAAACAATTCTGAAAGAATGGCATTAATAAAACACATTCATTCGGATACAATAGTCTATGCTTGAAATAGGCACGAAATAACAGATTATTACAGAGTCTCATTGTACAGTCTGACAGCGGTGTACAAAAATTATTTTCTGAGCCGCTCTGTTCTGGCCAAGGGAAGGCTGATGTTGTCGTGGTTTCTGAGTTTACGCCCCGTGGAAGTCAGTCTCTGAGGCGGAACCAGTTCGTGAAGTGGATGTTCTGGTTTCATCATGTTCTTTAGTAAGGTGATGGCAGCCAACTCCCTCCTTTCCTTGAGGGAAGGAAGATACGGCACAGTCCGTTTGCCTCCACAAGAGATTATGCGTAGTGCTCGCTTCTGTACTCTTTCAATGTCTCTCGACTGTTCAGCACTACACCCAACCAATAAGACATTCCCGTATTCCAGAACAGGACGGATCAAGGATTTGTATACCTGGAGAAGGTCATCAACATCCATGCCTTGTTTGCACAGCAGACGCAGATAATGTAGTCTGCTTGAGGCCTTGGTTACACTTGACTTGATGTGGTCATTCCATGTTAGTTTATTGTCAAAAGTGAACCCTAGCCCCTTCGCAACGGTTGTTGTTGGCACGGCTTCCCCACCCAAGACAAGTGGTGGCAGTACGGGAATGCTCCTACTAAAGCTAATATGCAGCGCCTGGCTCTTCTTACCGTTGAGTAGCATATTGTTGTTGCTGGACCACGAGTCGAGACGTGCGGCTTCCGCCGACATGGTTGTGTCACTGGCAGCTCTTCTTACTAGGACAGTCCTGGACATGTTGACGTCATCAGCGTAGCCAATGTTGAGTGTGTCGCTGTAGACTGATGTACGTGTGAGTGTGTGCGTGTGTACGAGAGTGTGCGTGTGTATGAGTGTACATGCGCGCGCGCGTACGTGCGTGTGTGTGTGTGCACGTGCACGATTTGGCTTTGCCAATGGTGGTAAAGTAGGTAAACAGTACTATTATGCAGAAAGTAAAAAAGTACATAATATTAACATAATATAGTATTATTATTACATGAATTCTGCTTTGGTTTTTTTCTCAGCTGGCTGCCGAGCTCTTGGATGAGAACCGTGCTGTACGTCACCGGAGCGATGGAAGACATGGAGAACTTTTGTGCCAAACGATGACGTAATGGAGAACTTTTGTACAAAACGATGACGTAATGGCCCACAGTTACCTGACACTGCTCGTGGTATAACAGAGATGCAACAAACCGCGATGTAGAAATGGCGGGCCGTAAACCATAGCTCAGAGGGCGTTAGCTGTCGTTACAAGTCACAAGACATGCCCGTGTCGACCCCCCCCC